AAAAATATATATATAAAACAACACTAATTTTTTTTTTTATCTTTTCTAAGTTATTTTTAAGTTATTGTTACATTATGTTATGTAAGTTAAGTTTTAGTATCATTTCCCTTCTCCCTCTCTTTCGCCACCAGTTTATACCTCCACTGTTGTCTATCCTCAAACATAAAGTGCAAATAAAACTACATTTTTTTTTTTATCAATTATTATTCTATTACGGTTATTTATACATTTACAACTACAAAATTCATTTTTTCAGTGTTTTCCTTACTATAGTTATTATTATTATTTTTAATGTATTACTTAGCTTTAATTTGAGTGTGTTTTTCGTGTTGGAACAAATTATTTGGTTTTACATGTAATTGTATGGGGAAAAATGATTCACCTTACGACATTTTCATGATACAATCTCAGTGTCGGAACGGATTCATTTCGTATCCTGAGGTACCACTGTATATTATTTATACAAATCAATTATAAATTCAAAAGATCAGAAAAACTTTGTTGGAAGAAAAAATAATAATTACCTAAAGCACTGAGTGGCTTGCTCATATCCTCATCATTAAATATTCTCTTTGGAAAATTAGTCATAAGTGAAAAAGGACAATTACCGTCCGACCTGTTTAACTGTACAAATAACCGCACGGCCGCAAGTTCCTCATTTGAACCAAACGTCTGATTTAGGATTTGACCATTGGTAAGTCTTATCTAAAAATAATAAAGTAAGTAAAATGTCAAAAAGAATGATTGAAGTCATTTGTTTCAAAAATTTTTTATACAGTATGTACTTTAAGAAATAAAACATATTAATGTAATCAGAAAACTAAAGCATGATGAAACAACAGAACAAGAGTTTATTACAGTATAACCCCTCTAGTCCGCCCTCAGCTAGTCCGTCACTCCGGTTAATCCGACCATGGTTGGAGTCGAGAAACTTGTCCCGACTCATCGGCGACTCACTGTCTGAGGTGTTCTTCTGTGTTCATTATAGTATATGTTTTACATTGTGTGTACATGTACAGTTTTGTGTGTGTTTTCAACATGTCAGGAGTGAAACATAAACACGTTACTCTTTCATTAAATGAAAAATTAGCAGTACTACAAAGACGGGACAAAGGGGAAGATTGTTTATTTTACTTTTTTCTGATAATCCGACCTTTTTTGCGTTCCGACCATACCCCCAGTCCCAAAGGTGACGGATTAGAGGGGTTCTACTGTAGTTTTTTTTTACATCAATTTATATTTTGCAAATTATTGTGTACAATAACACAGTCCATGATTAGATTTCTGCATAATAATTACTAATATTAAAGCTTTGAAATTTATATATAGAGCAGTGGTAAAACTATATAAGTTTATTTTATAATCCTTTTGAATTTGCTCAACTACTTCATTGGAGAGTTACTGTAAATTTAGCATTAGGAAACAGCAAACCACATAGAACCTTTTCTGATACCAGTTGAAAAATTTACTAACAACAGACTAATATTTTTGATTGCTCACTCCATAAACATCTAATAGCACACCGATACAATATTGAAGACAAAATACATTCCATTGCCCTGTCTGTTTATACCATTGATAAATGAAGTACCAGTACATGTGGACCTTAATAATGCTGTTATCATCACACAATACTATAACAAAATCATGTTAGAACTCTAGAGGCTTTAGAGGTACACAAATCCCAACTGAGAGATGATTGTATCAACTACAAGAAAGAGCAGCACCTCTCATATGCATGCAAGTATATTTTTGAAAAATCTTAGTTTAACCTTTAATGAAAACTTAAGACAAGCTTGTTGTGCTATATAAAACTATTATAAGAAAAAATTTTGGATAATAAAAAATATACATTTAACATTTCTGCGTATAGACAAAGAGGTAAAAAGAATGTACATTTAAATTTTCATTGTTCAAATTCTAGTCTTTTGATTTTTCAATTTGGAAATCTTCCCATAATTACTTCTATAAAACTTTATATTTTGTCAGAATATAAAAATCATACTTTCATAGAAATGTATTTATCATAGTGGTATTATATACAGACCTACATACATACATGGGGAGTCAAAAGTTTATTTTACATAACCTTGAAAAGCATATAAACAAAATCACTTTCACTCATAAATTTAAAGTTACAAATTATGCAATCCTAAATGTATTTATTTGAATCCAGAAAATGATTTTAGACTAATTAAAAGATTATCTTTAACCCTGTCACAGGTCCTTTTATATTACCTGTGCTTATTAAAAATTACAACATAAATGACCTTGAAAATAATTTTCAAAGACAACCAAAAAAGATGCTAATCAATTCTCCATAAATGCATGACTTACTATATAACTAAATTGACAAAATTCTGCAGTACTTTTGGAATGAAAACGATGAAAGGAACTTTTGATTCATCTTGTATATTTAAATAATACTTAGAAAAAGAAATTTCAGATTTCAATATTAAAATAAAAATTAAGAATATTTTATTATGATTTCCATTTGATTATTCATTTGAACATTAATTTTCACTACGATATAAAATCAGAATTTCTGCCAGGCATTTGACAGCAACTTAAAATTATTCAAATTAAACTTAAAATTATTCAAAGAAAATTCACTTTGAATATACAGCAATAAACTGTATTAACCTATCCGATGTTAAATATTTTCTCCATTGCATTTCACTCCACGTTGAATTTTTTTCAATGTTAAGCCTAACGCAATCACACATTTTAGAAAATAATAATTGTGGCTATTGTATCATTCCAAATTACTTTATATTTTACACACACAAAATAGACATATTAGGAAATATAAAAACAAAAAATTTTATTTCAGAAGTTAGTTTTAGTGTGATAAATCTCAAAACAAGAAACAATGTATAGTGGAATGGTACACATTGTACACACTGATAACGTGATTCTGCATGCTTTGTGTTTCCCAAACATACTTTATAAATTCTGGATGGAGGTTTCTTTTTTTCTGTTGATAGTATAAAACTGGGAAAATGCTGTTCAGATAAACGTAAAGGATTTTCGTGTGACGGTCAACCGTGGTGGGCTAGATGTCTGTTTGTGTTATACTTCTCTATCACTTCTCTAATAACAGACATACGAAAATAAAGAAATGATTTTCCCTTCCAATCCCTAAAAGAAATTCCTTTCAATTGAACAATAAGAAATGAAAACATTCAAGAAATGATATTTGTTTTTTTGTATGTTGGCAATACAAAACACAAGCATTATATAGTGTAATATCCATCATATGAAAAAACATTTTACCATTTTTCTCATGCACGGATAATTGTGTATTACTCCTTCACAGAGATTGATTCCACCCATATTTCTATTATATTCTAAAACACAATTCAGCTTCATTATTGTATCTCCTAATCTGTTACGTTTACCCAAATCAGAGAATTCATTGTTACTCATCATAGTTAGAATTGTCACATTCCTTTTATCTTTTCCAACAAAACACAGACAATTCATCTTTCTGACAGGTCATAAATTCCCCTTCCTTCAATTCACGATCAGGAAAATTGTATGGCATTCCAATTCGATTTTTGTTCTCAGTTCCACAAACATATGTTTGTTTATCCAGAAGTGTTTTTGCTAATGTTGGTGAGGTGAAAAACCTGTCTAAACCTTGTGATTCTTACCAAGTAATGGTTCTAATAAGGTAAGCACAACTTTCTCACCATGCCACCTTCAAAATTTCCATATTCTGTCATAACTCTCGTGTAAACTAAAAAGTCCCGAACATATGCTGTTCGTGACTCGCAAATTTCTAAACTTTTTATGCCAAAACGAACATGCTTGCTCAGTATATACTAAATCCCAGTCTGCTTTTCCATAACACAAGACTTTCATCTACACACACATTTTCATCTGGGATGTAAGCATATTTAAACCTGTGGTGAAAATGATCAATAACAGTGTGTAATTTATTATCACCACCTGAAGCTTGATTATTGTCTGTAAAATGCAAACATGACAATAAAAGCAGAAAGCAGTTGCTCGACATTACACTCGAAAAAAATGGTGTAGAAAAACATCTTCAATTGTAAAGTACATACTTAGGCACAGTTTTCTAATGATACTTGTGACCATAATAAGTCCTATAAATTCTCTAATTTGTGGATTTGTCATCGGTTTCCAGTTTTTTATACAACTATTTTCTGTAAATTGTCACAGTTCATCAAACTATCACCATACCTGTTCATTTCTTCAACAATCTTGTCCACAAGTTCATCATTGAAAAATACACTAAAGCAGATGAATGGTGTAGCATCACTCTCAATGTAAATTACATTGGATTCCTACTTGTCCTGTGAAACTGTTTACTTGAGGGCTTCTGAAGTTTGTATGGATCCAACCATCATTACTACTAAATCACGAATGTTTCGCACTATTATTTCCTCGAGCACGACCGGGTGATTGACCTCTGAATCCACTTGTAGTTTTGTGATCAATATCACTACTACCATCACTTACATTTTCATTTTGTATATATTTGTCATTGCTGTCTGAAAATTCAGACTCATTGGAACCTAAATTAAATAAATATTTGATCATTTCTGATTTATTCAGAGCACTCCCAGCCATTGCCATGTTGAAACAGAGACAAACTAATGGTCTACTTTCCTTTGTGATTTCTTGTAAACAACTATTCCTATTATTGTAAAATCCTGCTGTGCAAAAACTAGATAGCATAATGATTCTTTTGATGAGTCACTAATTTTGGAATTCTGTACAAGTAGCGACATCTGATGTTAAAAAAAGTTCNATTCATTTGATATGATTTGCAAAGTTTAAAGAACTGCTTATGTTAGGTCAATAGGACAGTATCAAAGAATAAAAATTGATGAATAGCACTTGTACATTCTTTACATTTCTATTATACACACCCCACACATTAAATTAACATTTCACTGTAATAGTTTTAATATTCTTATTATCAACAGTGCATCTTCATTTAAATTGTAAAAGAAAAAATTCAATTTTTGAAAAACTGGAAGAACTACATGTCTTTAAGTACAAAATACTCTAATGACATGCATTAACCTAGTGTTTCTCAAACTTCATCTTCTGGTAGACCTGTTTAATGAATTTTAACAGCCATTTACATGCATAGTTTTCATGTCATGCTTGTTTGCAACATGCTAATTTGCATAGCTTGCTGTCAATATATTTGCCTAGACCCGCAGGGATCTGTGGACCACATATGGTTGAGAAATCTGCTATCTGAATTATCTCAACTGACTATTTAGGTGTTAGATTTGTGAAGAAAACCTGAAAAATTTCATGCAGCCAGCCCATTGGTGAGATGCAAACCTGCAACCAACTACCAGTGTTTTACCCACTAAGACATTGATGGGACAAGTGCACAAAAAAGCCAGTATTAATTAACATGGCCAAGACTCAACTTGTATTATTTTAAAATTTCAATTTCAAAACAATTATGTTTTAATGATATTATTTAAATTGTAAATGTACATAATTTTTCCTATTAACTTTAGTTAAAATAATTTAACTTAAACAATGTAAAGGAGTGTTTTAGAAGTTAATAGAAACAAAACTGAATTCAGTGCCATTGTTTAACATATTGCATCAAGTTTATAATTGTTTATTCTATCCTATGATGATGAAAACATGCTTAAATTAAAGCATTCTTTTAATCTAAAATATTTGTTAACTGATCAGTTTAGTGTTGCATGGCAAATTGTATTGTAAATGTATTTAATTATATTGTATGCATGATTTAATTTGAATTTTCCAAACTATGTAATAATAATTATTAATTGGTTCATAAATTATGATTTTATTTTGTATGCAATAATTTTTGGGGAAATTTTAGGTCCTGAAAATATTCTGCATGCCTTTTCATAAGTTGCATTGTACCACATTACTACTTGCAGATGGCTACACTTGGTCTACTTTATTGTGAGCAAAAAAATATCAACAAAGCAGCCAAGGAGGCAAATTCCCTGACTTTTTGTGACTTATTGACAACTTTTGTGAAATTCCCTGATTCTCCATGATTTTTTCCAAACACTAATATAAATCACTGATTTTCCCCAACTTTCCAGGTGCATAGGAACCCTGCATGTAGTAAAAAAAAAATCTGCTAAAAATTTTTATAAATTAAGATTTGAAATCTAAACAATGCTCCAATTGCTTGCTTATAAAAATTAAAATTATAAGAATTCTTACTGGTAATATAATAACTACTCATTCTTTAACATGTCTGGATAGAATTTAAATTTACTTTTTTATTTTCAAATAAGATTTTCAATGTTCTTTATAATTAACAAATTTAAAACACTTCTAAAATACTTAACAAAATATTTTGAGATTAAAGAAAAGTAACATCTAAGTAGTTTTTTCAAAATTAAGTATATGAGGTAACTTAAGTTTTCTTCTCTTTTTTACAAAAATAAATAATGTACTTTTGAATGAACAAAGAAGTAACACTAAAATTTATATGGTACAATTTTCTTATTTAATTGTTAAATGTAAAGTTGAACAACAACATAATAATACAAAAAAGAAAACTTTTTTACATATTAATATTTAATCTTGACTGACTTGACTTTATTGTTGTTTGGTCACAATCAACACAGCAGAGGGAACAAGTCCTGGAAAAAATTGATTAAACTTTTATTTGATTATATAAATTTTTAAAGTGATATATATCTGTGCTATAGAAATTTTAATACACCTACAGAGATGCCAACCTGAGAACAGGTCCATCAGTAGCACAGGATAATGAGAAGGATGAATAGGGAAGCAATTCCCCATCCACCCCTCTTTCTGACTTGACATCAATAATTTCTGATATTTTAAAACTATAATTTATTCCACACTATAATGTTACTAGGAGGCTTTGCTCCTCTGCTTGTCCATGGGTTTTGCCCACATTAAAAAAATTTCATGACAATTCATTGATTCTCCTTTGCCACTGTTTCTATTTTTTCTTTTGTGATGAAAAATGTATCATGATGATTTTAAGCCAAGTATCTTACATATAATTAAATTTATAAAATTAATCTAATTTTTATATAAGAAATTAAATATATAAATAGATAAAACAATCCACTTTATCATAAACTTCTTAAAATTTTCAATTATTAATAAATTATTTCATAATAATTTTTGAAATAAATTCAAATTTATATTTCTCATTTGATAGAATAAAATTCATATAATTGACAGAATTCACCATTTTGTCTATGTCATACACACACTACATGGTCTGTTTACATAGACTTTGCAGCATACTCAATCATGTTAGAAGGGCAGGCATTATTTTTAGATGCAAGTGTGTCATTTTTAACACGTTTTATCATAACTGTACAACTTGTTCATGCAAAGAAACAATTCTTAGACAGACCCTTAGTTAGCCACTTGCAAACTGGAAGCATTCACTGTTTGTACATTCCACATTCTTGGTTTGAGATTTGACATACTGGTGGTTCCACATGGACCAAGAGCACCTATATATGATGTTGCATTAATGCACCTTTTCAAGAGTATAAAAGATCATTCCATAGTTTTACAGGTTATCTGCAAGTCCACTATTTACACATGACTTCATTAGAAACTACAGAAAATCTGTAGTAGTTGGCATTTCTGTATTAGACACAGACAAATAATATTATACAAGGGCTGTTTATTTTTCAAGTTCCGATGGTCCATAAAACAAAGATAAGTGTAAGTAACAAAATGAATTTATTCCAAACGTTAGGTACAAACATGGTTACTTTTCGACATAATCACTGTGAAGATTGAGGAATTTGTCATATTTATGGACATGCTTTTCCATCCCCTTGTCATAGAATGCTGCCAATGAATTGAGATGGCATTAACAACACTGTTTTGAAGATCGTCATTAGTTCATTAGTTTCAAACCTCTGCCTTGCTAGCCATGTTTTCAATTCAGGAAAGAGGTGGAAGTCTTCACACATTAAAAAGTTTTAAGCTGGGTGGAAGTCTTCACCACCTTTAAACACCCAGCTTATAGCGCCGAGTGACTTCCACCTCTTTCCTGAACAGGAAAAGTGGCTAGGAGCACAGAGGTTCAAGACTAATGATGATATTCAAAGAAATGTTAGGACCCATCTCAAGTTATTGGCAGCAACATTCTATGACAAGGAGATGGAAAAGCTTGTCCATAAATATGACAAATTCCTCAATCTTCACAGTGATTATGTCGAAAAGTAACCATGTTTGTACCTAACTTTTGGTAATAAATTCATTTTGTTACATACACTTGTCTTTTTTTAATGGACCACAGAACTTGAAAAAAAAATCAGCCTATGTAGTTCTCAAAAACAAATATTTTAATATCTTATCTAAAGGGAATTAGTAACTATTATTTTTGTATATATAGAACATAATATATTCCATAATACCAATAATACAAATTTCTCTATTGCTTTTATTCTTACAAATGCATTTTTGGACCTAAGCATTCATGAGCCTTATCCTGAAATGCATTTGTAAGAATAAAAGCTTCCTGTAAGTGGCTAAATAGAACATGGACCAACTTACAACTCAAAACAGCTTCAGATTCTGCTTTTATTTCATTATATTGTAGACTATTGAGTTAAACTGGCAGTTAAAAAGAGAACAGCACATTTCAAAAATCAATTGGATCAATCTGAAATATTTTGTACTTGTCACTACACAATCACAGTTTTACCCAATGAATGGATACAGAAAAAACCAAATTGGATATTAGGGATATTCAACTATGGGTAAATGGTAAGTTCATAAACAATGACCACCATGGACACCAGCTGTTCACAAATGTGGTAGAAAAAGTTCCTCCTTGGAATGCAATCAAATTTTTTGGATCCCAAGGACTATGATATACCAAATTACTAGTGTATTATGGAAAATATTTTGTCCCTTACATGTAATATCTGTTAATAAAACAAATGATGAAGTAAAATATAAAACTGAAAAGCATAAGTATTTTAATATTACTTATGTAAGTTAATTTTTAATGTTATATGATTCAGAAATAACAATATCAGTTATAAAAATCAATAGTTAATATCAGTATTTCTGCTACAACAATTAAATATTGAAATAAATAAATTATATTCAAATTATTTAAATGATAATAGTTTTTTTTAAGTTTGAATTATTGAAAAAAGAAAAGCAGTGTACAACTTTTTAGCTATTTATACTATAATTGTAATATAAACAGCTAAAAATTGTATAATCCAAAAAGCAATAATTATAGAGTAAAAACAATAAAATTTAAAATCAAGTAAAATTGAAATCAAATGAAAATGTAATAATTTTTTTAATAAACAAGAGTTGTCTTAAAATTCTTGTCATAAGTTCTTAGTTAAAGATTAAAATAACTGAAATATATAGTTTGATTGTATTCTGGTTCTTAGCATTTAATTTCTTTTAAAATTTCTGTTTAAAATCACTATATTATAATAAATAACTCACTGTTAATATTAAGCAACATAATTACACCACTGTTCTCAAACAGTAAATAAAGTCCTGAAATTCATATCTAAGTATTTCAAAAGTTTTAGCAAAATTGTTGTGTGTTAAATTTAATCTAATACAGTGGTACCTCAGGATATGAACGCCCCAGCATACGAAATTTTCAGGATATGACACGAAATTTGAACATATTTTTGCTCCACAATACGAATAAAAACTCACCATACGATGTTACATTAGTTCGCAGCGCCATTTTTTATTCATTTCTGTTCGTTGGTCTCAGTCCGCGTTTGCTTTGTCGTGGAAGGATCTCGCTCGATAAAGGAAATCTTGAGATATTATCAGAAAGTGACTGATTTTATTGAAAGAAACATCCCGAAAAGGTTCACACTGGCCGTATTGCTGCTCGGAGTAATGACATTTGCCTAAATCATTTTAGAAACATTTTAAAAAGTAGGCAAAGCCAAACATCTTTGGATAGATATTTTACCAAGCAACCTCTATCCAGTGAAAGTGCTGGGTGGAAGTGAAGGAAAGAAAGCAAAAAGCAGTGAATAAAATTTAAAAAAAGAAAATATAAAACAACACTAATTTTTTTTTTTATCTTTTCTAAGTTATTTTTAAGTTATTGTTACATTATGTTATGTAAGTTAAGTTTTAGTATCATTTCCCTTCTCCCTCTCTTTCGCCACCAGTTTATACCTCCACTGTTGTCTATCCTCAAACATAAAGTGCAAATAAAACTACATTTTTTTTTTTATCAATTATTATTCTATTACGGTTATTTATACATTTACAACTACAAAATTCATTTTTTCAGTGTTTTCCTTACTATAGTTATTATTATTATTTTTAATGTATTACTTAGCTTTAATTTGAGTGTGTTTTTCGTGTTGGAACAAATTATTTGGTTTTACATGTAATTGTATGGGGAAAAATGATTCACCTTACGACATTTTCATGATACAATCTCAGTGTCGGAACGGATTCATTTCGTATCCTGAGGTACCACTGTATATTATTTATACAAATCAATTATAAATTCAAAAGATCAGAAAAACTTTGTTGGAAGAAAAAATAATAATTACCTAAAGCACTGAGTGGCTTGCTCATATCCTCATCATTAAATATTCTCTTTGGAAAATTAGTCATAAGTGAAAAAGGACAATTACCGTCCGACCTGTTTAACTGTACAAATAACCGCACGGCCGCAAGTTCCTCATTTGAACCAAACGTCTGATTTAGGATTTGACCATTGGTAAGTCTTATCTAAAAATAATAAAGTAAGTAAAATGTCAAAAAGAATGATTGAAGTCATTTGTTTCAAAAATTTTTTATACAGTATGTACTTTAAGAAATAAAACATATTAATGTAATCAGAAAACTAAAGCATGATGAAACAACAGAACAAGAGTTTATTACAGTATAACCCCTCTAGTCCGCCCTCAGCTAGTCCGTCACTCCGGTTAATCCGACCATGGTTGGAGTCGAGAAACTTGTCCCGACTCATCGGCGACTCACTGTCTGAGGTGTTCTTCTGTGTTCATTATAGTATATGTTTTACATTGTGTGTACATGTACAGTTTTGTGTGTGTTTTCAACATGTCAGGAGTGAAACATAAACACGTTACTCTTTCATTAAATGAAAAATTAGCAGTACTACAAAGACGGGACAAAGGGGAAGATTGTTTATTTTACTTTTTTCTGATAATCCGACCTTTTTTGCGTTCCGACCATACCCCCAGTCCCAAAGGTGACGGATTAGAGGGGTTCTACTGTAGTTTTTTTTTACATCAATTTATATTTTGCAAATTATTGTGTACAATAACACAGTCCATGATTAGATTTCTGCATAATAATTACTAATATTAAAGCTTTGAAATTTATATATAGAGCAGTGGTAAAACTATATAAGTTTATTTTATAATCCTTTTGAATTTGCTCAACTACTTCATTGGAGAGTTACTGTAAATTTAGCATTAGGAAACAGCAAACCACATAGAACCTTTTCTGATACCAGTTGAAAAATTTACTAACAACAGACTAATATTTTTGATTGCTCACTCCATAAACATCTAATAGCACACCGATACAATATTGAAGACAAAATACATTCCATTGCCCTGTCTGTTTATACCATTGATAAATGAAGTACCAGTACATGTGGACCTTAATAATGCTGTTATCATCACACAATACTATAACAAAATCATGTTAGAACTCTAGAGGCTTTAGAGGTACACAAATCCCAACTGAGAGATGATTGTATCAACTACAAGAAAGAGCAGCACCTCTCATATGCATGCAAGTATATTTTTGAAAAATCTTAGTTTAACCTTTAATGAAAACTTAAGACAAGCTTGTTGTGCTATATAAAACTATTATAAGAAAAAATTTTGGATAATAAAAAATATACATTTAACATTTCTGCGTATAGACAAAGAGGTAAAAAGAATGTACATTTAAATTTTCATTGTTCAAATTCTAGTCTTTTGATTTTTCAATTTGGAAATCTTCCCATAATTACTTCTATAAAACTTTATATTTTGTCAGAATATAAAAATCATACTTTCATAGAAATGTATTTATCATAGTGGTATTATATACAGACCTACATACATACATGGGGAGTCAAAAGTTTATTTTACATAACCTTGAAAAGCATATAAACAAAATCACTTTCACTCATAAATTTAAAGTTACAAATTATGCAATCCTAAATGTATTTATTTGAATCCAGAAAATGATTTTAGACTAATTAAAAGATTATCTTTAACCCTGTCACAGGTCCTTTTATATTACCTGTGCTTATTAAAAATTACAACATAAATGACCTTGAAAATAATTTTCAAAGACAACCAAAAAAGATGCTAATCAATTCTCCATAAATGCATGACTTACTATATAACTAAATTGACAAAATTCTGCAGTACTTTTGGAATGAAAACGATGAAAGGAACTTTTGATTCATCTTGTATATTTAAATAATACTTAGAAAAAGAAATTTCAGATTTCAATATTAAAATAAAAATTAAGAATATTTTATTATGATTTCCATTTGATTATTCATTTGAACATTAATTTTCACTACGATATAAAATCAGAATTTCTGCCAGGCATTTGACAGCAACTTAAAATTATTCAAATTAAACTTAAAATTATTCAAAGAAAATTCACTTTGAATATACAGCAATAAACTGTATTAACCTATCCGATGTTAAATATTTTCTCCATTGCATTTCACTCCACGTTGAATTTTTTTCAATGTTAAGCCTAACGCAATCACACATTTTAGAAAATAATAATTGTGGCTATTGTATCATTCCAAATTACTTTATATTTTACACACACAAAATAGACATATTAGGAAATATAAAAACAAAAAATTTTATTTCAGAAGTTAGTTTTAGTGTGATAAATCTCAAAACAAGAAACAATGTATAGTGGAATGGTACACATTGTACACACTGATAACGTGATTCTGCATGCTTTGTGTTTCCCAAACATACTTTATAAATTCTGGATGGAGGTTTCTTTTTTCTGTTGATGGTATAAAACTGGGAAAATGCTGTTCAGATAAACGTAAAGGATTTTCGTGTGACGGTCAACCGTGGTGGGCTAGATGTCTGTTTGTGTTATACTTCTCTATCACTTCTCTAATAACAGACATACGAAAATAAAGAAATGATTTTCCCTTCCAATCCCTAAAAGAAATTCCTTTCAATTGAACAATAAGAAATGAAAACATTCAAGAAATGATATTTGTTTTTTTGTATGTTGGCAATACAAAACACAAGCATTATATAGTGTAATATCCATCATATGAAAAAACATTTTACCATTTTTCTCATGCACGGATAATTGTGTATTACTCCTTCACAGAGATTGATTCCACCCATATTTCTATTATATTCTAAAACACAATTCAGCTTCATTATTGTATCTCCTAATCTGTTACGTTTACCCAAATCAGAGAATTCATTGTTACTCATCATAGTTAGAATTGTCACATTCCTTTTATCTTTTCCAACAAAACACAGACAATTCATCTTTCTGACAGGTCATAAATTCCCCTTCCTTCAATTCACGATCAGGAAAATTGTATGGCATTCCAATTCGATTTTTGTTCTCAGTTCCACAAACATATGTTTGTTTATCCAGAAGTGTTTTTGCTAATGTTGGTGAGGTGAAAAACCTGTCTAAACCTTGTGATTCTTACCAAGTAATGGTTCTAATAAGGTAAGCACAACTTTCTCACCATGCCACCTTCAAAATTTCCATATTCTGTCATAACTCTCGTGTAAACTAAAAAGTCCCGAACATATGCTGTTCGTGACTCGCAAATTTCTAAACTTTTTATGCCAAAACGAACATGCTTGCTCAGTATATACTAAATCCCAGTCTGCTTTTCCATAACACAAGACTTTCATCTACACACACATTTTCATCTGGGATGTAAGCATATTTAAACCTGTGGTGAAAATGATCAATAACACTGTGTAATTTATCATCACCACCTGAAGCTTGATTATTGTCTGTAAAATGCAAACATGACAATAAAAGCAGAAAGCAGTTGCTCGACATTACACTCGAAAAAAATGGTGTAGAAAAACATCTTCAATTGTAAAGTACATACTTAGGCACAGTTTTCTAATGATACTTGTGACCATAATAAGTCCTATAAATTCTCTAATTTGTGGATTTGTCATCGGTTTCCAGTTTTTTATACAACTATTTTCTGTAAATTGTCACAGTTCATCAAACTATCACCATACCTGTTCATTTCTTCAACAATCTTGTCCACAAGTTCATCATTGAAAAATACACTAAAGCAGATGAATGGTGTAGAATCACTCTCAATGTAAATTACATTGGATTCCTACTTGTCCTGTGAAACTGTTTACTTGAGGGCTTCTGAAGTTTGTATGGATCCAACCATCATTACTACTAAATCACGAATGTTTCGCACTATTATTTCCTCGAGCACGACCGGGTGATTGACCTCTGAATCCACTTGTAGTTTTGTGATCAATATCACTACTACCATCACTTACATTTTCATTTTGTATATATTTGTCATTGCTGTCTGAAAATTCAGACTCATTGGAACCTAAATTAAATAAATATTTGATCATTTCTGATTTATTCAGAGCACTCCCAGCCATTGCCATGTTGAAACAGAGACAAACTAATGGTCTACTTTCCTTTGTGATTTCTTGTAAACAACTATTCCTATTATTGTAAAATCCTGCTGTGCAAAAACTAGATAGCATAATGATTTTTTTGATGAGTCACTAATTTTGGAATTCTGTACAAGTAGCGACATCTGATGTTAAAAAAAGTTCCAATGCAGAAACTAATATATATTCGGGGTCAACAGGTTAGGTCAAATGTGGTCAACACAAAAATACTTGAGAACAACACGGGACAGGTTAAAAACTACCAAACAACAATGTAATAATTTTACCGTTGAACTACAGAGAAAAATTTCAATGTTTTTATCACAGTGTACTAGTAGTTACTGGTAAGACTATCGCATTGTTAGTAGCATCATATTCTAGATGCATGCTCACTTTAGATTACCTACAATTATGAACATATTTCACTGTGTCAAAGACAGAGCCAAGGCACTCTCTAAATTGTCGTTTATGCCTTGAAACAGGGGGGGAACTTCTATTACTGTCCACAAGATCCACAAGATCACTGTCTAAAAGAATAAAAGAACACTATCACTGTTATAGCTTAGCCCAATTTGTGATCAATACTTCTCTTATGCAATAAGTCTGCAATTGTTCAGTGTTGTCTGTGTTATCTGAGATAAGACTATTCTTATCAAAGAGAGCCCTATCAGGATACTTGAACAAATACATCTTTAGTTCCTTTAAATATTTAACTGTTATTAATACTAAAGACTCCTTAATGTCCCTTAATGATAGTTGGAAACCTATACTGGACAGTTGGGACTTCACTAGGTTGATTAATAGATAACAGCAGATTAGCAAAAAATATTTCTTTATGTTCTTCTTTTCTGCATAAAACTGAGTATCGAACAATATAAAGGAAAACAACCCACATATTGGCTTCTGATAATCTCATCAGAAGCTAATAAATGCAGGGTTCCTTCTCAAATTTTTGTTTTAAATTCCATGACTTTCCCTGACCAACTTTGTACAAATTCCAAATCTCTTATGGCACATTGATGAAATAAAATAGCATTTGACTTACTATGCACATATGCTATTGCTTCTCCAAATTTTAAATTAGCTATTTTTTCTAATTAGCATTTATATATTTTTTATAAATGCTAAATTATTAAAATTAAAAATAAAATATTTTATTAAAATTAAAGTAGTTTATCACATTATTAATCCACAACCATAAATCTACATGGCTTTGAAAAAAAGAAAAATGCCATTATTTATTTATTATTCATTAAAAAAATCCTGTATAATCCATATACAAAAGTATATGAAGTGTGCAATGCCATAATGTAAATGCCAATTTTCTCTAAGTATGTTTTATTGAAGAATTGAATTCTAAACGCAATGTTTTCTACTGCAAAAAAAATATTGTGGTGATAGTGGCACTGTAAGTGGCCGTACTTTGAAGTTGAATTTATGTAAAGCCATAACATTTAAAGCTCCAAAATGCAAGTCAAGTGACTTTTGGCACTTAAAACATTACAGCTTACATTTACATCATTTTGATATCCCAGAGAATTTGTAACATAATGAGTTTTTACCATTTTACTATAAACTTGAAATGAATTCATTCACTAGAAAAAGTTTTTTTTTTACCTCTTCTGAAAAGTTTGATTTTTGGCATTTACAACATTATGGTATTGAACGCTTCATATATTTATTAATATGTACTTGAATATCTTTTGTTCTTGTTGTAATTGTTATGAGTAAGCATAAAGTACAGTAACACACAATTAAGATGGATGTACAGGCTTTTATTGATTCCTTAGCATATGAATTTTGGACAAATCCCTCATTAGTCCTCTTTTTCAACTTTACATCAATCTGGTTACAATTTAAACTAGATTTATAATATAATAGCTATTCTTGAGATATATTAATCAATACAAGCACTTTTGCTGATGTGTAAATTACTAAAAGTTTAATAGTAAAAACAAGTAACTTACCTGAAGTTTGCATTGATCATATTGTCTTTGTGGGACTGTAGTTGTAGTAGTTGAAACAGTATTAGAACTATTTACAGTTGATATAACAGGTGCAGTATTTCCAACTGTTCCAAACATTTCTTTACGAGCTAACTTATCTCTTTCAATTTCTTCTAAAATTCTCTGCCTTTAAATTTTTATAAAACATAAAATTTAAATATTTGATAAAATACAAGATTTTTTATATAGGTACCTACTTGTCCTGTGAAACTGTTTACTTGAGGGCTTCTGAAGTTTGTATGGATCCAACCATCATTACTACTAAATCACGAATGTTTCGCACTATTATTTCCTCGAGCACGACCGGGTGATTGACCTCTGAATCCACTTGTAGTTTTGTGATCAATATCACTACTACCATCACTTACATTTTCATTTTGTATATATTTGTCATTGCTGTCTGAAAATTCAGACTCATTGGAACCTAAATTAAATAAATATTTGATCATTTCTGATTTATTCAGAGCACTCCCAGCCATTGCCATGTTGAAACAGAGACAAACTAATGGTCTACTTTCCTTTGTGATTTCTTGTAAACAACTATTCCTATTATTGTAAAATCCTGCTGTGCAAAAACTAGATAGCATAATGATTCTTTTGATGAGTCACTAATTTTGGAATTCTGTACAAGTAGCGACATCTGATGTTAAAAAAAGTTCCAATGCAGAAACTAATATATATTCGGGGTCAACAGGTTAGGTCAAATGTGGTCAACACAAAAATACTTGAGAACAACACGGGACAGGTTAAAAACTACCAAACAACAATGTAATAATTTTACCGTTGAACTACAGAGAAAAATTTCAATGTTTTTATCACAGTGTACTAGTAGTTACTGGTAAGACTATCGCATTGTTAGTAGCATCATATTCTAGATGCATGCTCACTTTAGATTACCTACAATTATGAACATATTTCACTGTGTCAAAGACAGAGCCAAGGCACTCTCTAAATTGTCGTTTATGCCTTGAAACGGGGGGAACTTCTATTACTGTCCACAAGATCCACAAGATCACTGTCTAAAAGAATAAAAGAACACTATCACTGTTATAGCTTAGCCCAATTTGTGATCAATACTTCTCTTATGCAATAAGTCTGCAATTGTTCAGTGTTGTCTGTGTTATCTGAGATAAGACTATTCTTATCAAAGAGAGCCCTATCAGGATACTTGAACAAATACATCTTTAGTTCCTTTAAATATTTAACTGTTATTAATACTAAAGACTCCTTAATGTCCCTTAATGATAGTTGGAAACCTATACTGGACAGTTGGGACTTCACTAGGTTGATTAATAGATAACAGCAGATTAGCAAAAAATATTTCTTTATGTTCTTCTTTTCTGCATAAAACTGAGTATCGAACAATATAAAGGAAAACAACCCACATATTGGCTTCTGATAATCTCATCAGAAGCTAATAAATGCAGGGTTCCTTCTCAAATTTTTGTTTTAAATTCCATGACTTTCCCTGACCAACTTTGTACAAATTCCAAATCTCTTATGGCACATTGATGAAATAAAATAGCATTTGACTTACTATGCACATATGCTATTGCTTCTCCAAATTTTAAATTAGCTATTTTTTCTAATTAGCATTTATATATTTTTTATAAATGCTAAATTATTAAAATTAAAAATAAAATATTTTATTAAAATTAAAGTAGTTTATCACATTATTAATCCACAACCATAAATCTACATGGCTTTGAAAAAAAGAAAAATGCCATTATTTATTTATTATTCATTAAAAAAATCCTGTATAATCCATATACAAAAGTATATGAAGTGTGCAATGCCATAATGTAAATGCCAATTTTCTCTAAGTATGTTTTATTGAAGAATTGAATTCTAAACGCAATGTTTTCTACTGCAAAAAAAATATTGTGGTGATAGTGGCACTGTAAGTGGCCGTACTTTGAAGTTGAATTTATGTAAAGCCATAACATTTAAAGCTCCAAAATGCAAGTCAAGTGACTTTTGGCACTTAAAACATTACAGCTTACATTTACATCATTTTGATATCCCAGAGAATTTGTAACATAATGAGTTTTTACCATTTTACTATAAACTTGAAATGAATTCATTCACTAGAAAAAGTTTTTTTTTTACCTCTTCTGAAAAGTTTGATTTTTGGCATTTACAACATTATGGTATTGAACGCTTCATATATTTATTAATATGTACTTGAATATCTTTTGTTCTTGTTGTAATTGTTATGAGTAAGCATAAAGTACAGTAACACACAATTAAGATGGATGTACAGGCTTTTATTGATTCCTTAGCATATGAATTTTGGACAAATCCCTCATTAGTCCTCTTTTTCAACTTTACATCAATCTGGTTACAATTTAAACTAGATTTATAATATAATAGCTATTCTTGAGATATATTAATCAATACAAGCACTTTTGCTGATGTGTAAATTACTAAAAGTTTAATAGTAAAAACAAGTAACTTACCTGAAGTTTGCATTGATCATATTGTCTTTGTGGGACTGTAGTTGTAGTAGTTGAAACAGTATTAGAACTATTTACAGTTGATATAACAGGTGCAGTATTTCCAACTGTTCCAAACATTTCTTTACGAGCTAACTTATCTCTTTCAATTTCTTCTAAAATTCTCTGCCTTTAAATTTTTATAAAACATAAAATTTAAATATTTGATAAAATACAAGATTTTTTATATAGGTAATCAAAATTCAGAAGGTTTATTTTAATGTGTTTTCAATAATTTTTTATAAATTTAACTAAATTAGATCTAAACCAAAAAAATATTCTTATAACATTCTTATAACATTAAACTTTAAAAAAAATTATTGTTAATTCACAATTCTCACTTGAAAATCAATATAATTTACAGCTTTGATAAGACAGTCCCTTATCCACAATATACAACTTTTATTTTAATATTCGTTTAATTCTATCATAAATCACTATCATTAGAAACTGCAGATTTCAATTAGTTTAAGTAAGATAAATAAATATTTAATTTGATATAAATAACATTTAAACATTTTAAAATCTACTTTAAATTAATATAACAATATAATTAATACAAGCAATTATTTATTGTAATACTTTCACAGTACTGGGCTACAATTTTTAATTAAAAGAAATCATGACTCCTGTCCAGATCAGAAGTTCATAATCAGGATCTCCTACCTTAAGTTTTCCATATCTAGACTTAATTTTAGTTGTGTCTTACCCCTGCACATCATACTTTTCTTGAAAACAATCAAATTGAGACATGTCATCTGTCTAACTCCATTTTTGAGAAAATTTTGAATTGAAATCACATGACTTCCAGTGTTGGAAGTTCATATATAGTTAATTGAGATCTGTGGCTCCTAGGCTTTCCATATCTGGTCTCAATTTTCATCTATCTTATTCCATTCTCAAGATTAATGAAGGACAGATAGATGGACAAAACAACAGTGGCAATTCATTTTCCAACTAATATTCTATATATTTATCTAAATTAGCTAAAATCAAATATATTGAGTTTCTGAATGCAGATTATTTTTAAGTAATAAAATAAAATACAAATGTTATACCTAGCTAATTTAGCTTCTAGTTTTTCTTGACGTATTAGCTCAGCTTCTCTTCTCTGTTGCTCTTCTTCAAGTCTATTTCATAATAAATCAAACTTAAGTTTAAATACTTAGATATCATCAATCATTAAAAACTTATTCTAATATGTATTTAATAACTCAGTAATTCAGTTAAAAAAAATTATTTGTTTACTAGCAAATTAGATAAAAACATCTCAAAGAGCACTCATTTTGATACATGACTATAAATATAATTTAATTTCAGTCACCTGCTGAATGATTATGATCTCAGTTTCAATTATGACAGATAATCTATATTCTGCCAATCATAAATAAATCTAACATCTACAGCAAACTAGAAGCGTCACTGTAATTTCTCTCTTATTTCAAAGATTTGAAGTACTTAAAGCACATTTTGATTTAAAAAGGTCTTCATAATCTGCATATATTCTGATAGTAGTTATATATTGATGTTTTATCATCTTAATTTTTTAAAATAATTTTTTAATTAAAAATTTATACATTCTATAAAATTTTTTTATCCTAAACATCTATTTTGTACCTAGACAATCAAGGCAAATAATTTAAAATAATTCTTTGTTTTACTAACATATACTGATTCTTAAATATACTTATAAATATTTAACTGTAAAGAAAACAAATATAATAAAAACATCATCAATACACACAAAAAAATTCATTTAACAAAGAGCATTTTCTGAATATTCTTTATGATAAAAATTAAATAAATTAAAATTTTTACTTTTGTCTAGCAAGAGCAATTTCTTGACCAGTTCGCCTCCTCAGTTTTTCTTTCTCAATTGCTGATTTTCTTTCTTGTTCTTCTTTTTCAAGTCGTCTCTGTCTAATTTTTTCTTCAAGTCTGTAATTAAAAATGCTTTTTTTAAAGCTACTGTAATTAAAATTTCTTATGCATTCCTTTTAGATTAATTCAGTTATTTAAAAAATTAGCTACAATATTAAAGAATTTCTCAACTGTACATAATGATTTGTATTTTAAACATGAAATTTTTACGAAAAGAAAAATATAGAAAAAAATAAGAAATCAAGAACTAACAATTTCTTAGCATTTATTGTAAATCATAGCTGTTTCTTTAAAGGTTAAAAGAGATTTATAATGAAGCCTGTTTAACAAATATATATAAAATTAAATATATTACAGGAATACATCACTTAGTACAGATTCATATAGTATGATTTATAGTGTGCAACAGAGAATTTAATTTATCCACAATGATTCATTACAATCAATAGGCAGTCACTGTCAATCTAATATGTATAAGAAAGATTATAACCATAGTTTTAAAAAATAAGTTAACAAAAATTAGCATAGATGTAAGTGATAAAAAGTGAACCAACACCAGTTGAAAGGCATTATTAACTTATATTAAAAATTTATTTTAATAAAAAGTTGCATATCCTTTTAGAGACATTCAGAGTAACATATATTTTCACAAAAGTACCTATTTAATGACTAAAGCAAAGAAAAAAAAATACAGCATTGTTTTCTGCTTTAAAGTTTTTAATTACTAAATAGCTTGTTTTACAGTAATGTGCTATTAGACTGACAGAAATTAGCAAATATCTAGCAGCACTCAGCCTAACCACTCATCTATTACTTTATTGTAGATGCATGAAAAAACACAATTGTCTATTTCTTAAGAACTATCTTACGGGCACTAAGAGGGCCTTTATTTAGGGCTATCATGGGTCCAACTAGGCCTTCAATGGAGGCAGTTAGCTAGTGAAGGACAAAACTCATTAATAATGCTTGGATTCTATCATCCAGATTCTCAGAATGGCAAGAAGCTGAATCTTTTACCACCTCAGTCATCTGGCCATCTTGTACTGTACATATTTTTAAAATGTCTACTACTGGCTTAGTTTAACAATTTAAATGGAGAATACTGCATTTTAAGAAACAAAATTAGTAGATGTAATTTGCTGCTACTGAGCTCTTAATGCAGAAATGAAAAAGAAGAGACAAGTCAAAGCAGCAATGGATAATTTTTTCTTTCAATAAAAGCAGTTAAAAATTTAATTGCAAAGTAAAAAATTGAAAGTTTGGGTTTATTAGCATCTTTTTTATTTTATTCTCTTGTACTTTTTTAAGGATTTTTATGACATTATTAAGTCAGTTCTAATTATTTTTTAGGTGCAAAATATCTCATTTCAAAAGAAGCATTTTTCTTATAAAATATATTCTCCAATTAGTGCAGTACTTTTATGGAATGCATTAACAGCACTAAGCAGAATATTTCTGTATATATATTTCATTCTAAATAAATATTGCCATTATTGAATAAATATCTTCATTATCAAAAATTTGTTATTATCAAATATCTTCATTATCAATAAATATTTTCATTATCAAATTATTTATTCAATAATTCACTCAAAGTCAAGCCAATTCTCAATGGACTTTTTTTATTGCTTTATTACATAATTTCTATTTGTTCAAAATCTGGTACTCGCCACAAGTTGGAATTTAATAAAAAGAGCACCTGAAGGCAAATAATTTTAGTATTAATTGACATCAATATTACAATTTTATTTACAGAAACTACTTAATTTAATATACAATTTATTAATTTATATTCATTATATGAAGAATTACATCACTACAACTCTTCATCAAAAAATTAGAATATTCCATCCATGTTGCACTATAAAGTGGATGTAATTTAAACTTTATGTATATTAGTAAGTATTTTAATAAAAAGTATTAATTAAGTGTATAATAAGAGACCTTACAGAAAATTTTTTTACAGAAAATAATTTACAAAAAATATTATTCTTTATCTATACTAATGTTATAAAGAGGTAAAGTTTGTAAGTTTTGATGTAGGAGGTAATCTCCGAAACTACTCATCTGATTTCAAAAATTCTTTCACCAATATTTAGAATGGACCTTCAGGGTGGACATAGGCTGTATATTATTCTGTTGAACATTCATATAAATTAAAAGATATCATCTAGATAAGCGTTGTATTTTTGGTGTCAACGAGTGATGAGGGGCAAGATGCGTACATATACGAGATAGGTAACTGCGCAGCGCAGTCGCGTGATCGGCGAGATACGCAGTGCACATGTCCAAACTTGTAGTATATAAAGTTGACACAGGGAATGCTGCACATAAGTTCGCTTTATTCGAACTCTTAGTCTTAATGTTCAATTTTATGTTCAAATTTATATTTATGAATGATTTGAGAAGATCCAACTTATTTTTCGAATTTAGTAAACTAGAAGAAGAACCCAGAAGGGGTTACAAAAACGTTTGTTATTTATCATTTAGTGGTACTACACACTGGTTAGCAGTTGCTGTGAATCTTAATTATCGTTATCCCAGTGTGGTAAGCAGATATCTAAAAATTTTCTAATTAGTCTCGGAAAAGGGGAGACCTAACTCTTGCACTTGATGAAAATGGATAAGATCAGCTATAATCTAATGGTCTTAATCTTTGCTATCATATTTGTTCAAGCAACGCCGGGCTCATCTACTAGTTTATCATATATAACACACTTTGTATGAGAAAAAATTATAATGTTTATCTGTCTGAACAGAAAATAGAATACACCACTTTTATTATAGTTTTATTATTTAGTTTTGCCTCCTTTGGCTTTTATAACTACGTAAGTCTATGGAAAAGTGAGTGAGCCCAAGAGTTTGGCACACTGATATGGACTTATTTGGGATCAAATGTTTTTTTTGTTTTAGATCAACAAGATTTAATGATTTTTCATCTAATTTTTCCTTTACATAATTCCACAAATTTTCAATAGGCTTCAAATCAGCAGAGTTGGCCAGCCACTCCAGAACCTTTATCTTATTTTTCTGCAATCATTCAGTTGTTACTTTTGCAGTGTGCAGAACTGCTAGATCATGCAGGAACATGAAATCACTATCTAATTTTGTCACAGGAATAACTTCAGATGGCAACATAAAATACTCAAAAATTTCTGTACACATCCCCATTGATCTTAGTGTTGATAAATGTGACTTCTCCAACATCTTACAAATGCACCATTATTCAACTTGGAAATTTCACAGACCTCTTAATTGTATCAAAATGGTATGAATTTTGCAGATGTTCTGCAAACAGGTAACACCTGATCTCCAAATGACAAACAAAATCATGATTTGTTGGGAAATAGCATATTATTCCACTCTTACACCCAAGTCTTTTCTTTCCACATGCCAATTCACTTGACATTTTCACTGTATTTGAGAAAAGAGAACTTTATTTTGGGAACACACAAGTTATACTGAAATTCATGCAAATGTCACTATTAGACATGTGGCTATTGAAATATGCAAATATCACATGTTTACACTTAACATGGAGTTCTTTAAGCATAAGCATACAATCTTAATTGGTTTTTCTTCACAAATGACTTTAAAAGTCAGTTTTCTCTCTCTATTGTGCCTTGTTTCCTGCTGCTGTTTCATTCTTTATAAGTGGCTAAGATACACTGCAGTTGATGATTCTACAATCTTTTCAATAAGGCTGATTGTCTACAACCATTTTAGATATTTTATTTTGGTTTTTGCCTTCTTTATGAAGTGCAAGAATAACTTTCTTCTTTTCAATAGATAAATCAATTTTTCTTTCAATGATTTGAAAATAGATGGAGCAATTACTTATTGCTTGTTATCTCCTTTCTTGATTGTTGTATTTGTATAAACTTACAATATTTTTTACATGATGTGGAATAATTCAATTTATAGAGTAATGAATATGTCTCTTGTTTATTATGATTCACATTGTATTTCAATATTCTAATTTGTCACAGGAAAGTAAATATTCTAATTTTTTTTGTCAGAGTCAACATGTATCTAATAAAATAACAGTTATTGTTTATCTTGTAAATTTATTCTTATTTCTTATTCTTGTTTCTTATTATACCTGAAATTCATATTTTTCATTACATAAGGTCATAATATAAATACAAAACTTTAACTTACAATCTATTTCATTGCTCAACACATACTTGAATGGAATATTCTAAGTTTTGGCAAGGAGCTGTATTTATTAGTAAAGAAAATTTTAAAACATTTTAAAAAATACTTTCCTAAATTAAACTACATAAATCACAATATTATATATGAAAATACTGCATAATATTTACTTGTTTTTAAAATATATAATATAAAATAATTTTAAAAGATATATTCAAAAATAAATCACAAAATAAAATTAAATTGTGTAAAAATTAAAGAAAATAATTACTTTTTCAGTTGTTCTTGTTTTTCTTGTTCTGTTAAAGGTTTAATTTCTTCTGTGGACTCTGAAAAACTTTTATGTCCACTTTTAACTGCATGAAATTCTATTTCTGCATCAGATCGAAATCTTTTCCCACACCTAATTTAATAAATTTGTAAAATATTTTTATTTAAAATTTTTTATATAATACTTTACAGATATACAAACACTTCTTTAGCCTACTCATCACATTGGACAGATTTCGGCTGTTCAGAAGTTTCTTCTTTAACATCAGAATTTTTTTCACCTGATTTATCATCAGCTGCTAAATTAAATAAAGGATAAAACATTTGTTAATCAAAAGATTTATCTATAATTTCTAAAAAATAATTTAATTTACTATACCTAACAAAAAGTTGTGGTCACCTGTTATTTTAATTTCAACATAGTATGTTAGGAAAAGTACCACACGCAGCTGGCAACATGATTCAAACATGCATATTCAAAGGTCATCTCTGCTGTGTTTGGTGAGGATTCTTACAAAATGTAGAAATATTAATCCTCATCATTGTACACACTTTGTTTCAATTAAAATCTTTTAATTGAATTGAATACAAATGTTGCTGTTATTTATGCAACAAGTGTGAAAAATAAGCTTTCTTTACAAATACAGAAGTTGTTAAACCACACAGCTGCAGAAGAGACTTTATATGAGTTGCATGAAACTTTTGTTTTTTTACTGTAATCCATGTAATATGTGAAACAATTTTAAAGCAGCTTCATTCATGGAATGTATGCCTTGAGTGCAAAGCATTGCTAGAGATAATAAACTTATACAGGAAAATAAGATTAATAAAACATGTGTTAGTTCTTTTAAAGAAATTTTATACAAATGAGCATATTAACAAATTTATGGATTATCATCACAGATAATTTATTTGGAAGCTGTCACAAAACAGATTATTGAACAGGGTCTGCAATACAAACAAGTGACAGTGATACTGAAGTTAGCTGTGGCATTGACTAAACGGTGAAGATGCAGTGTAAAGAACAATTTGGCTACAGATAGCATTAACATTTCTTCCATCCTTTCTCTCTTAAGCAGACTTTGGTCAAATGATTAGGCATAAGATGGTCTTCTTGGATGCAGCACCATTTGTAACTGTGAACTGCCTGATGCAGTGATTCCTTCTTATGGAAGAAATCACTGCACCATATTGTGAAGATCCAGATACAAGGCTATGGTAACCCTATATCTGGATCGTCACAATTTCCAATGGGTTCTATAGGGTTAAATTAAGGCTGTAGCCTTTAGAGGACCAGCTGACCACCAAAAGGAACAGCTTCCTGTCTATCCATTGTTGCATTGTGTTGGCAATATAAATCAATGTGAAGTGCACTTGGCAACTTTGAGAATTTAGGCACCTACAATAAAACACAAGGAAAATCAGCTGCTTTGCCTCACAGTTTGATTTTGGAACACTGCTCAGTCAAATGCCAAATCTTAACTTTTCCTCTGATCATTCATTCAAGAAGACCACCTTGCATCGCTCTTCAACTATCCAACTTACATAGTCATCTAGAATAATTATTACAAATCAAGACCTCATTTCAACACGTATGACTGAGAATAACATACTTGAGAAAGTGAGATGATTAACTTATCATCAATTGGTCTTTCTGTGCAGCAGTTCATAAAATAAGACTACCTCAATGAGGATGTCACTGCACAATCCATGTGGAGACAGTTAGGTCAAGTCCTTTGATGCTTGAGCTATCTGTCAAGGAGTCATGGAATTCAGAAATTCTTCAACTATCATCCAGTCCTCCTTGGTATTAGTATCTCTTGTCCACACCTGACAAATGAAATAAAAGCAGTGTAGACTGATATGCATTTAAATTCTATCGAAACTTGGAATTATTCATGACAATTGTGGTAATGATGACCAATCTCAATATCTTGTTCCCACAGCAGCTTCAAATATCTCCACATCTGCTTAGATAATTGCTGTATGTTATTGTCCTTATAACAAAATGGCCAATCATTAATCTTTTTGCCACTTCTTTCAACCTAAAATAAGCAAAGTTGTATTGGCCATTGCTCATTTTTTCACTTATAACTATACATTAGGTTTTACTGCTCAAAAATTTCCATTGTCCCTGAACTAATCAGCTACAAAATTATCAGATGACAACAGTAAACTGAGACAAATCTCACCAGTGATGCTAATACACAGACTTTACATAAACATTCATACCTAATTTATACTTAACATAGACTGAAGCAACAAGATTAACAAGGACAATCTCCAAATAGTTACTAACCTATTATACTGAGATCAGCTTCATAAGCTTTAGGCATTTCTAAGTTTTGAAAGAAGCATCACTGAACACCTTAAGAGTCTATTTTTGAACATGCATGTTCAAATCATGTTGCCAGCTGGCACAGTATTTCCTCTAATATACTATGTTGGAATTCAAATGACAAGCAATTGCAACTGTTTTGTCAGATACAGCATACCTAATTCTTGATGTACATGGTAGATTGGATCTGCATAAATCAAGACTAAAATTTATATGAAAAATAGAGTAAAGTTTCCAATAGAGGAGACTTATTCCTCCATTTTTTAATAGCCTATAATAATGAACAATTTATTTTTTATTTATTATATATCAATTTTTTAATATGAAACTGCCTTTAAAGTTTTATTAACATATAATATACAATAAAATTAATGAAAATAAAATTTAATTCTGTCTTCTTCACTTGTTCATGATATGAAAAATTATATATGTGCAACTGGAACAGGAAGTTAAGTACACTCACACCTTTTCTATAGTTCCAGCAAAAATTAAGTTTAATACCATATAAAATTTTTATTCATTTTTATGTTAATGTCTGGGAAGGTGAGTATAAAATGGCTGTAAACATTTCAAATGTTTAATGAAACTGGAAAAAATGTGTGGTTATATCCTGAACTTGACCATGAACAATTTTCCTCTTCTTTTTTTAGTAAGTTAGTAATAGAAGTTACGTAAGATTTTTAAACCTTGTTTTTCTATTTCTATTTAATTCTTTACAAATTTTTTGGCATGGATTTAATACATACGAAGTTGAAGAATAGTATAAAACAGGATATCCTATCTCAAATGTGTAAGATGAAAGTAGCACAAGCTTAAACATTAATTTTATTAAACATTAATATTAAATTGAAACATTATCACGTTTCACATTTTTTTTTATTATGTTAAATTGAAATTGACCTAATGAAGTAACATGTAAATCAAGGTTTAGGTGTATTACAATGCAAAATCAAAAATAACTTCTTATTCTTAAAATCTTAGAATAAAAATACATAAATATATAAAATATTAAATATTGTCAGTAATGTAAAATATGTGCATAATCAACATCATTTTTAAGTATTATCAT